AAAAAATTAACACGAAATACATCATAGATGCAAATATAGGAGCAAAAATTATAAGACTTTTAGAAGAAAACATGAGAGAAAATCTTAGTGACCTTGGGTTTGGCAAAGATTTTTTTTAAATAGGATACAAAAATCATGAACTATAAAAGAAAAAATTGGTTAAGTTGGACTTAATCAAAATAACATTTTCTCTTAAAAAGACTGTTAAAACAATGTAAAGGCAAGCCACAGGTTGGGAGAAATATTTGCAAAACATATCTGACAAAAGGCTTGTATTCAGAATATACGTTTAAGGAACTCAATAATAAGAAGGCAAACAACCCAGTTGAAAAATGGGCAAAAGATTTGAACAGACAATTTATCAAAGAAGAAATGGGTAGTACATAAGCACTTGAAAAGGTGCTCAACATCATGATTTGATAGGGAAAGAGAAATTAAAATCACGATGAGATGTCCCTGTATACCTACTAGAATGGCAAAATTAAAAAGACTGACCATACCAAGTGTTGGCAAGGGTGTGGAGAAACTAGAACTCACATACGTTGCTGGTGGGAATGCCAAATAGTACCACTACTTTGGAAAATAGTTTGGCAGTTTTTATAATGTTAGACATATGTTTCATACACTTTTTTTTTTTTTTTTTGTGAGGAAGATCAGCCCTGAGTTAACATCCATGCTAAACCTCTTCTTTTTGCTGAGGAAGACCAGCTCTGAGCTAACATCTATTGCCAATCCTCCTCCTTCCCCCCCCCCCCCCCCCAAAGCCCCAGTAGATAGTTGTATGTCATAGTTGCACATCCTTCTAGTTGCTGTATGTGGGATGCGGCCTCAGCATGGCTGCAGAAGGGGTGCATCGGTGTGCGCCCGGGATCCGAACCCGGGCTGCCAGTAGTGGAGCGCGCACTTAACCGCTAAGCCACAGGGCCAGCCCTCATACACTTAACTTACCACGGACTCATCAGTTCTACTCTTGGGTATTTACCTTGGTATTACCCAAGAGAAATGAAAACATATGTCTACACAAGGACTTGTAATCAAATATTCATAGCAGCTTTATTCATTGTAGCGCAAACTGGAAACAACTCAAATGTCTATCAGCTGATGAGTGGATTAGCAAATTGTGGTAAATCTATTCAATGGAATAAAACAACAAGGATGAATTTCAAGAGGAATATGCTAAGTGAAAGAAGCCAGGCACAAAAGACCATATATTTTTTATTCCATTTATATGAAACTCTAGAAAAGACAAAACTGTCGGTGACAGAAAGGAAATCACTGGTTTCCAGGGTCCAGAGAATGGGAAGAGAGTTGACTGTAAAGGACATGAGGGAAATGTTCTTTATCATGATTATAATGGTGGTTACACTACTGTACACATTTGTCAAACTACGTTGAATTGTATACTTAAATTTTTTGAATTTTGTTGTGTGTATTTCATACTTTAATAAAGCTGACACCCCTTCCTTCCCTCTCCCTCCTCAATAAGATGGTCCCTAGCATCCTCCAAAACTTGCCAGTGACTTTTTTGGTTTGCTTTTTTCTTTTTTAATATTGTTATGAACTCTTAACGTTTAAACATTTTGTGTGTTTCATTCCATTGTAGTTATCCTCATTGATGTTTACATTGTCCCATCTTTGGCCTGTGGCAGCTTATTCCAGTTGATTCCTGAGTCCTTTTGACATGATCCTAGAGTAGTCTTTGGTGGCTTCTGTGTGCTTTCTGATATACATGTTCCAAGTGGATCTTGTACATGTCCTGTCCTAGACCTATAGCCAACTAGAAGTCCTGGTTCCTTGAAGTGGAGAGTGGTATTAGAGGTCACAGTCTGCATAATGTGGTGCTTCATGGCTGCTGGACAGTCGTTATTTTTAGGCCTCCCCCCCGCCCCGGCTGCCCCAACCTTTATTGAGGTATAATTGACAAATAAAATTGTGAGATATTTATAAAGTGTATGTCATGATGATTTGATATATGCATACATTGTAGAAGGAATCCTCCCATCTAGTAAATTAACACCTCTATCACTTCACATTTTTCTTTTTTTTTCCCCCTACTCTCTTAGCAAATTTCAGTTCAGTGTTATCAACTATAGTCACCATGTTTTACATTTAGGCCTTTTCATTGGACAGAGCTAGGATATTGATATAGGATATGATATGATAAAATACATCTTGGGTTCAAACTGATGCTCAGTTTATTATTATTTTTTATTATTATTATTTTTAAAGATTTTATTTATTTATTTTTTCCCCCCAAAGCCCCAGTAGATTGTTGTATGTCGCAGCTGCACATCCTT